CTTACTAGAACAGAAGTAAAAAACAAATTTACGTACATAGTAGTTTATTATATATATATATATATATATATATATCAAGCTTGTTTTTTTTATCTCTTATATATTGACGCTTTATCATCGATTAAATGCAATCTGAGATGAAATTCGGTTAGATTTTTCCCATTTTGAAGACGTTTCGCGCGTGCAAGTTTTGCAAGCCGTTTTGTTCGCAGGTAAAGACGACAAGGGCTGGAGCATGTACATAGACCGGCAGCGGTCGTGGTTCATGCACGGTGGTGGTCATGCACAGCGCACGGAGGGTGGCGTCCAGCAAGGCTCGACCGTCGGCGTCCTCCTCGATCTCGACACCACGCACACGCTACGCTTCTTCGTCAACGATCAGCCGCAGGGCGGTATCGCCTTCCGTGATCTCTACGGCGTTTTTTATCCGGCGATCAGCCTGAATCGCGGCGTAACCGTGACTCTTCACACCGCCCTGGACGTGCCGCGTCATCTCCTCGCACTTCACGAGGAGTACGTAAGCGACATGGTTCAGAGCTAGGGGTACCTTAACGTCCTCAAGAAAGGTCTGCTCGAGATCGGCTCGCCTTTAGGCCCGACGATATACGCCGCGGACAGGTGCAGAGACTTTGAGTCGGGCCAGCTGCTGGAGAAGATCATCGAGGAGAGCCCGGTCGACGTTAATTAATTGATAGATTCTTTGAATATCATTTAAAGCGATCGACCGTTAGTTCGTTTTCTGTAATACCGCTTGGCACGAAGCGTTACGAAATGGCGTCTGACACCGCTCCGAAATGTTATAATGTTAATGAAGATACTTTTGCTCTTCTGCTATGCAGCTAAGTGTAAATGGTTTGATCTCCTCAGGAATTTTAGGGACGCAATTTTTTTTCCAGTATCTCGCTCCGTATTTAGAAGTGTATATTTTTACGAAGCATTTTCCACGCGATTATGTCACGCATTTTATGTTATAAATCTGATTTACTATAAATAAGAACGCAATCTTTTTTTATTTAGAATTAAGAAATGTATTGTCCCTGGGGATGTTAATCTGGGAAAAATGCGCCTCGCGCTAGTTGTCTGGATATAAGCGGGCTCCGCGAGGAATAACGATTCAACAGGTCCAAAAACTTTGGCGAGAAGATTTCTGAGGGAGGCGCTAACCGTTGACCCTTTTGGATTCGCCTTGTTTGAGAAACTGAAACTTAGAATCCAGACTCCGTAGATGGGAAATCGGGATTTATACTTTCCTATCTCATTCACATGATCGATGATCATATTAAACGAAACCTATAATATTAATCGAAGCGCCGTACGTTTCGAAATATAAGACGCAGCGTAAAATCACTCGAAGAGTGAAAAGTCACTTTATTCCGGAGAATTTAACGAGACTGACATTCACGCACACGTCACACGATCCATAAATAATACGTCCAGTTAGGAGGCCGCAGGAAAGCTAAGATAAAGCTCCCTCCGCTAAAAGATCAGTCCATTTTCTATTTATATCATACTTCACAAAAGCGGAGCGAAGAAAGTATTTTTTTCTACGCGCTTTTCCTAAATTCATTTCTTCAAGTATCGTCCTCGAAGGAGACCTGATGCACTTCTGAGAATTGGTGCTTTCGACCTGCGGTCAATTAACTCGAATTCCCTGTCCAGCTATGATCTAGAAAGAGACGTAGAGAAATTACCGGGAACACTTAACCGAAGGTGGAACGATCGGCCCTCGGAGGCAAGGAGACGTCCATTAGCAAATAGCCAAGTATCGTTGCCGACAAACTTTGTTGAGGCTCGTATTCGAGTAGAAACGATCAATCGGTCGGTTCGAGAGCTTCAAATAAGAAGAAGTCTCTTACGGAATTCATCGCTCGACGGAGAGAGAAGGACGAGCGAGAGAAATAGTCTTGCTCGTCGGCAACCTTTCTCGATATTCTCGACGGAACGGTGGTTCTCGGTAACTTTTTACTCCGGGGAGAATAGAATCGAATCGGGGTGCGCGAAGGACACCTCGAGGATCGACATAAGGCATCGAGGATCTCGAGTAGCCTTTCTCGCAGCGTGCTCCGGGCTAGCTAGTAAAGAAAGTCGACGATCAGTCCCACCGGGCGGCAGTTCGCCGCAGTTTTTGTCGCTCGCGTAATTAACTCTTTCACCGCACCTGCTGCCGTACAGCACGCGTCCGTCTTCGACGATTAAAGATCGCAACGTAACTTTGTTCACTACGCGAACAAAGGCAAGACGTTGGAAATTTTTGAGAATTTTTACGATATTTTATTAAGTAACATCTTCTTATTATAAATCTTTGCGAAAGAAGAATAATATGTTGTTTTGAGAAGCATATTTTTCCATGATAAATCCCTAAAAAAAGACACTTGTACAACTTGACGTCCGTGATTATTTATCTCTCGGAAAATAAATGAAGTGCATTTTTAATATCTAATTGAAATGATCGATGAATATATTTAACTCTTTTAATTCGCCGCTGATACGGTTAATGACCGTGCGAAATCGCGAGCTTCCGATCGAACGCTGACAAGGCGCGATCGACTACGAGGAGACTAGGAGGATCGACCACGGTAAAGGCCGATAATTATCCTACAGGACGAGGAAATCGAAACTCTCTACTCGCTGGAACACGCTGACTGGGCGGATTCTTCGTCCTGCTCGCGCGATCGACGGATCGCTCGATCGTCCACTCATTATCCATATCGACACACGTATAAGTGTAACCGCGTCGTAGGCGTTAAGCTCCATTAAAGCGTATAGACAGATAAGGTATAAAACAATGTTGCCGCGGCTTTAGTGTACAATAATGAATCGAGTATACGTTTTCTAGTCCTCGATAGAGACCCAATCGACACGTCCTTTCCTTCGTTCACTCATTCTCATTCCCCCGTCGTTTCTTTTCCTTCCCTTCTTCGCATCCGCGTCCAATCCCGCTGGTTCTTTTTTACGACTTTGTATCTTGACGGTCACGAATACACAGGACATTTAGTCCTCGCGCTCGATTTTGCCGTTATATTCCGACCGATGTAACGACAACCCGGAAGCGCGTTATTCTGCGCCGGACATATCGTGTCGTCGTTGCGAGCGCGCGCGCGCGCCTTTCGGCGCCATGTACATAGGTGTATATATACATATAACTATATCGATTGTATCGCCGATGAATTTGCCGATTGTACTATTTACGACTGTATCGGATCAATAAAACGCAACGAAAAACGCCTGCACGACGTTGCCATATTCGTGACCCTTCGATTCTCCCCTTCGATTCGCTCTCTTCTATGCGATGGATTAAGGCACTTGAAGATCTTCTATTGTAGAAAATATAAGATCAAAAGTTTCAAAAACATATAATATTATTTCTTTCTAATTGTTATTAATATTTTTGAAATAATAAGTATAATAATAATAATCATATACGTATAAAAAATATATATTTTTTATATATAATTATATTACATTTCGAAAGATGGATAAAATGTCTTATGTTTTATCCATATATATATATGTATAAAATCTAAGATTATTCATTTTTTTAGAGAAATAAAAATTCGTACTTTCGAAATTTCAAGAGAGATCAGGAAATTCGCGAATTGATGCCCTTGTGCGATAATCCACCGCTGTTCTCCTACCGCTTTCTCCCTTCTTCTCCGCCGTTTTTCATTCATTTCATCCGAAACTTTCGTAACACCTCTTCAGGAAGTTCTCTCGCCGTTGTGCTGGCTCCTGCAAATTGCGACGAGTGGCCGAACGGCGAAGGAAAAGACCGGCGGAGTGCGCAATGCGTAGTCTGGGGATGGGAGAAAAAGGAAGCAAAGGGCGACGAGTGGTCCGAGAGAAAGAGAGAGTTCTCTCGGCAAAGAAAGGCACAGAAACGCGGTCTGGGCGGGCCTCTTTAACGAATGCAATTAGCTGTCGCGGCCGTGGCTGCGGTATGCGATCATTTTTTCCCCTTCGGGCGTTATTTTATATCGCCTTTGCCGTAAGTTCGTTCAAGCACGGCGCTTGATTCGATTCGGAGATTGGAGGAAGGACGAAGTCGTGCGGCCGTGCTTAGGGCTAATCGATTTCCGCCTTTTTTTACCCCTCGTTTCACGAGCACGGGATGTAACAGCCCTTTTGTCGCCAATGGCCTTTTTCTGTTTAAATAGAGTCGTAGATAGAAGGTTCTGAGAAATGTCCTGATATTCGAATAATGATTTAACATCTGAAAATCGTTGCCGATCCTTCAGAAAAATCAATATAAGAAACAATTCAGGCTTTACAAAATTTATTCAATAAGTATTTAGACGTACAAGAATAAAAGCGGCTACCTAAATTATGAAAGATAAAAATTTGCTTTCTTTTATATATGCATTTATATTACTTTTTTTTATTTAAATTAAAATTCAAAAATATTCTCAGTTATTTGATCATTTATCTAATAATGTCATGAATTGTAAAAATTAAGTTCGAAAAAAGTAATTCCTGCTTATCTTTTTGTGCACTTATATAATCTTCAAAAAAGCGATAATATGAGAAAAAAGTAAGATCACATCAATTTACGACACGCAAAAAATGTTATAAAAGTTGTTCAATGCCTCTTCGGGAAGTTCTTGTCCCCCACAAATTACAGCGAGCAGAGCTGTTGGAAAGAAAGATGGTCCTGGGTGTAAGTTGGGTTAAAGTAGAAAGAAAAAAGACATTGAATGTCGCGAGAAAGAGTCCCTTCGAAAATATTGTTATTATTGGAACTGTTTGTTCTTACGAGGCGGAGAAAAAGGAGGAATCTAATAAGTGTTTTATGAACATAATTAGCAATAACTCAGCGTTACTCAACTATCTGTACAGAATATTTCGTAAAGAACAAAGTTTCAGAACGTAATTCTGATGAAGTTGGAACGCTTCTTTACAAAAATTTAAACCAAGATATATTTTATATTACGAAGTTTAACAACTTTGAAAATTAAAAAATATTTAATGAATTAAGTTTTAAAGACGATAATGACTAACGGAACGTTCTTTTAGTTCAAGAATACTTTATTTTCAAAGTAATTTAATCTTATATTTTATTTTTAGATTAAGATTTAATAATCAAGATATGATAATGAAAATCGTTAAAATTTTATAAATTATAAAAAGAATTAGATCGAATTTATTCCAAAAAAAGTTGGTTTTTAACTGATTAGAAAATACACTTTTAAAGATAAAATTTTTATTTATAAAGATTCGATGCAAGTCACGGCTCAGAAGGATATCGAGTTCTGCAATAGAAAGTAGTAAGTAAGTTCATGTATTCTACTCGTTCGTTGACAATAATGCAACAGGGATTTCACAAGTTCTGCTTTTTTACTTTTCTCCTTTGAAGAAAGTATCCTGCAGCTTACGCGAGCTTAAAAGTTAGTTTGGAGAGAATCGGCGGCTACGTTATGTGTACACGTTGTAACGGTACAGATTTACGATTACAACGAAAAATCTTCTTATCCCGTTAAATGTCGCCATCGTGTAAGTCCACGTTCCTCAAAATGTTCTGCGTGGATTTAGGGGATTGTGCGAAATGCTGGTAAATTTCAGCATTTTGTTATTTTTATCTCGCCGCAGTGTACGTTATATATTCCGGGTTAAACTTTTCACCTTTGTACTTTAATTATAAAATTCTCTTGTATTCTTATTTCTAAAACTAATGAGGCTAATGATAAAACGAGATTACATATCATATAAAGGCCTTCGATAACTCAATTAATTTTGGAAAATATTAGGAATTTATATAATTTATATAATTTGAAATTTTATATAATTTAAAAAATTTTTTGATATTTCACTAATAAAAAAATAAATAATATTAAATAATTAAATAAAAAAATATCATATTGTCGTGCACGTTTTTCACAGCAATTTTTAGAATCATCTCTTTTGAAACTATAAAAAAAATTTTAATCTTCTAAATAATTTTCTTTTTCATGTTGCAATTGCAACTGTTGTCAATGATTAGAAAAGCTTATTCAATCTATTGTCACACTTGCTGCGAACGGTAATCTAATGTTCGGCACAACGACGATGATAAAAACAAGAGAAATGTGCGTTTTCGCTTAGTTTTATTCGTAGTAGGCCGTCCGGAAGAGAAAAAAGGCGGCCATCTGCCGGAACGTAGTAAATCCAGCGTTCCTTTTAGTGGTCTATATGCTATCTCTGGCTGGTAATGGCCCGAATTCTCGAGAGCATGAAAACGTGACGCTCGTTTCGGTCCAAGACAAGAAGGGCCGGGACACGACGTTCACGATCTATTCCTCTCCCGCGCACGATCTCTTATTTATCCCCGCGAGATTAAGCAGGACTACCATTCGTGCGTGATCGTCGAAGCGTACAGGAGGGTCGCCTAATCGCGTAACCGTGCGCACCCTCCATCGACGACTATTAAAAAAAGAAGAAGAAGAGGAAAAAAGATGTGAAGAGAACCTTCCGAGGGGCTCGTTAGACTTGGACTAAGGAACTTTCTAATGCGGTGGTTTCCTTCGATAAAGATCCAGTTGATTTCAAGCGAAGAGGGAAGTTTGAAGTTTTGTCTTCAAAAGAAATTGAAAAGAGTCAATATTATGTTTATATTTAATTGCTTCGAGCACGTTGCCATGTGAATTAAATAATCGTATCGCAGGATATGTAATTTATGCATCAAAAGTTTTATAATTTTGTAAAAAATTCTATTACGCAAGTAAGTACTAGTTTAAAATCAAAATAAATAGAAATAAAACATTTTTACCTACTACTATTTTACCTGATAGCAGAAGTACTATATATTAAAGATGCAAGAGAGAGAGAGAGAGAGAGAGAGAGAGAGAGAGATTTTGACATATTTTTACCCTGGATTGTTATTAATTAAGGTGGAGCAGAGTTTTTCTTCCTTACGCTTTTTTTTTCAAGATGCAGCTTTAACTATTTTTAGTCATCGCCGCCGCGCAGACTTTAGACCTCCTAACTGAGTTCTCAAGGAATCTCGCAATAATTCAGCATTACGCTCATAAATATGTACCTGGGCGGTATCGATCCGGGGGAGTGTCGGGTACATATCTTCAAGAGTTAAGCCGTTGGTAAGAAAGTATTTTTACTGCAGTTAGGACCATGAAAATTTAAATAAGCAACGACGGGAAGCTTTTTGGCGGCGGCGCGACGCCGAACTTACGGTGGCTTTTAAGCTCCGCGAGGTCGCAAAGTATCTCGGTGAATATGTGCATGTTCAACATAATCCGCGAAGTCTAAGTGCACTTCATTAACGTTGTTAAGCGTAGACTCGAAAACTCCCGGTCGCCGTCTGTGATTTCAATATTTCAGATATCTTTCATGACGGTGGCGTTACGTCATTCCTTTGAAACCTTCATTCAGTCAATAAATAATGTGTCGAATTTATTATGATATCATTGACTGGCGAAAAAAATGTGATTTTGTTATGTAAAAAAAGAACACACAAATTTAGAAATACAAATGCTCTCGCTTAAAATAATAACACAATTATGCCTCAAAAGTTGCATCTCTCAAGTTGCATCTCTTTACATCATAGAGTACACATTTATATTCAAGTCGAGTCATATTTTTAAACGTGTAATTTTTAAGTTATTATTATAACATTGTTGTATTTTTCGTATGAAAGGTATATAAATTAATGAAGGAAGATATTAATAAGTTTGTGAATAAAAAGTAAATTAAATAATCTAGCGAATCGAGGCATTTTTTTCGTCTGATACACAAGTCGCACGAATAGCAATTCTGAAGAGATACGATTAGCAGTGTTGCGAGCCGCGCGATTACCATTAACGCCGTACGCTTTTCGAAGAGAGATCGAACCATCAGATTAACCCTTCCTTCCTACGTCGCTGACAATTGTCGTTCCGGCGTAGCAGACGGGAGTGCAGGGATATTAGAGGAGCGGTGTTTCGAAACGCAATTTCCGGGTTAACGAGACTCCGACCAATGGAGCGAGCGTCATTTGTGGAGAGAGCCACGCGAGCGGAATTAGCGCGAATTTTCGAGCCGATAACCGGGTCGAGTGCGAAATAATTATCGGGCGCCGATGAGCCGCGTTATTATTCCGGAATCCGGGAAATCGCCGGAAAACACGGTAACACGCGTTTTCAATTAAAAGCCTCGATATTGCCGGCTCGGCGTTACGCGGCGCGGAACGGCGCGTGCAGCGACCCGAATGATTTTTCGACCGCACCGCTGGTAAATCTTATTTAATCGTTTACACGTACGCGG